GGCTGTGTTTCCGTTGCCTCAAAGTGAGAAGATTTCGCCACGCCTGCAAGAGCAAGAGATGTGGAGTAGATGAGTGCACGCAGACTCATCACCCTCTGCTGCACACCACGCGACAACAGCCGGAGAATGAAGTAACAACACACGTCGTCGAGGACAAGTCCGCCGCAGTCACCGCATCGGCAAGGGAAAACGACAAGATCGCGTTCCTGAAGATCCTGCCGATACGAATCACCGGTCCCACGGGAACGTGCGACACCTACGCGCTACTGGACGACGGGTCGACTTGCACCATCATCGAGACGACGGTGGCGGAGCGAATCGGTGCTACGGGTCCCCCCGCACCATTCTACATGGAAGGTGTGGCCGGGGCACGGATCAACGCAGCTCAATCGACGCGTGTTCACTTCAAGATCCACGGGCGGAATTCACAAGAATACACAGTGGGGGCACGGACGATGGACAGACTGCAGTTATCACCGCAGTCGGTACCGCGCAACGTCATCAAGGGCTGTCCACATCTACAAGACATAGAGAGGGAGTTGGTCTACGAAGAGGGCAAACCGACGGTACTGTTGGGGCAAGACAACTGGCACCTACTGCTGGCCCACGAAGTCAGAAGAGGATCCGACACGCAGCCGGTCGCATCACTCACCGACCTGGGATGGGTACTGCACGGTACGAGTCGCGGCAGGACAAGACAGCAGGTGCACAGAATCAGCCACATAGTGACGACACATGAAGAGGAACAATCGATGGAAGAAATGATGAAGCAACATTTCGCGCTCGAATCGCTGGGAATCGCACCGAAGAGGTCTTACAATGAAGAAGAACGTCGCGCCCTACGCATTTTAGAAGAGAAAACTCGTCCGTTACCGGCGGGAGGATACGAGACGGGGTTACTATGGAAGAAGGACGACCCTGTGCCGCCGGATAACTACGAATCGGCAATGCGACGTCTCCAACTGGTCGAAAGGAAACTCGACAAGAATGAAGAAATTAAGAAGAGGTATGAACAACAAATGGACACGCTACTCAAGAACGGGTATGCTGAAGTCGCCCCGCCACGGAGTTCCCAACGGGTGTGGTACCTGCCACACTTCGCCGTCATCAACCCGCAGAAACCGGGGAAACTGCGGATCGTGCACGACGCAGCAGCCAAGACGAAGGGCATCAGTTTGAACGACATGCTGCTGCCGGGCCCCGACTTACTTCAATCGCTACCGGGGGTCCTCATGCGGTTCCGGCAACGACGGGTGGCAGTCACGGCGGACATAAAGGACATGTTCATGCGGGTCACCATACGGGAAGAAGATAGGGACATGCAACGATTCCTGTGGCGAGGAGATCGACGAGAGGGTCCACCTGTGGAATATAGGATGAAGAGTGTCATATTCGGCGCAACATCGTCACCGTGTACAGCGATCTACGTCAAGAACAAGAACGCAGAACAGTACAAGGAAGAGTTCCCGGAGGCAGCAACGGCGGTGGTCATGAACCACTACGTCGACGACTACCTCGCCAGCTTCGACACGGAAGAGCAAGCCGTACGCGTCTCAAGACAGGTCGCACAGATCCACGGTCGAGCCAACTACTATCTCCAACGGTGGGCGTCGAACTCGCATCAAGTGCGCGCCGCGTTCTCCGACACCGGCGGGGACAGCGTGGTACAACTCGACGCGGAGAAGATACTGGGGATGGTATGGCGACCTTCTGAAGACACCTTAGGCTTCAACTTCAACGGACACAAGCTTCCGCCACAGATAGCCAGCGGGGAACAGACGCCGACGAAGAGGGAAGCGCTACGAGCGATCATGTCACTGTTCGATCCACTGGGCCTCGCCACTCCCATCACCATACAGGCGAAGAAGATATTGCAGGAGACGTGGCGTACCGGTATCGACTGGGACACCGAGCTGCAACCACGGGAAGCGGACGCCTGGCGGAGCTGGATGGACCACGTGCGACGGCTGTCCGCGCTGGAGGTGCCGCGGTGCTACCCGGAGGTAGCCACGGCCGATACAGCGGAGCTGCATACATTCGTCGACGCCAGCTCGGACGCGTACGCCTGTGCCGTGTACTGGCGGGCCGTAAGCGCGACCGGCGAGGTCCACGTGTCGCTGATCGCGGCAAAGGGACGAGTGGCCCCACTCAGCAAGGTGACCACGATACCACGACTGGAGCTGCAAGCGGCCGTCCTCGGGTGTCGCCTATCGCGCACGGCAGTCGAAGAACACGACCTGAAGCCCGCTCGCCGAGTATACTGGTCGGACTCACGCACCGTGCTCGCATGGCTACGCACCGGTCCTCGCGCATACAAGCCGTTCGTCGCGCATAGAGTCGCCGAGATCGTCGAAGAAACGAAGACGAACGAGTGGAGATGGATACCGACGCGGCACAACGTAGCAGACGACGCCACACGCGACCCACCGACGGACTTCGGCTCGCAGCATAGATGGTTCCGTGGGCGGACTTCCTGTACCTCCCCGAAGAGCAGTGGCCGCGTGAAGATAGTACGAGCGACGATAATCAAGCGGAAACGGGAGAAGAACGCGTACACAAGCTACAGAACGCGACGCAGTTGTCTATAGCATTACCCGATCCGTCACGTTTTTCTAATTGGTTGAAACTTGTTCGCAGTTCAGCACGGGTGTTGCAGTTCATCGACCTCCTGCGACCGACCAGTCAACGCTGCACCGCCATCCGAAAGAGAAACAAGAAGAAAGAGAGCGCCGACCCCACTTGGACCCGCACGAAGAAAGTCGATAGAGAGAAGACGAAGATGAAAATCAAGAACAACAATAGTCCATCTGTGTGTTTCATCCCCATAGACACACACTACCTAGATCGCGCGCGACGGCTATGGATTCGCGCGATACAACAAGAGGCGTTCGGCGACGAAATCGCAGTATTGAAACAAGGGAAACAGCTGCCGTCATCCAGTCGACTCATACAGCTGTCAGTCGTCATAGACAACGACGACATTCTGCGACTTCGATCGAGAATAGCAGCCGCCGCCGATTTGTCAGCCGAGCAACGAGAGCCCCCCATCGTCGACGGAAACCACACCTGGGTGCGCCTATACATCGCATGGGTGCATCGGAAACTTCACCACGGCGGCTTCGAGATCACCACGAACGAGGTGCGACAACACTTGTGGGTGTTGCGCCTACGACACGCCGTCCGCAGTGAACTGAAGAGGTGTCAGCTGTGCCGCCTACGAAGAGCAAGACCGGCGCAGCCATCAACGGGCAACCATCCACAGAGCAGGCTGGCGCATCATCAGCGACCGTTCACGTTCACCGGCCTAGACTACTTCGGGCCTATGATCGTGACAGTGGGCCGCACTCACCAGAAGCGGTACGGAGTGCTCTTCACCTGCCTAACGACGCGCGCAGTCCACCTAGAAATCGCCGGCAGCCTCAGCACGGACTCCGCCATAATGGCCCTGCGGCGCTTCATAAGCCGCAGAGGGTGTCCCACTGAGCTATGGTCCGACAAAGGCACCAACCTCAAAGGTGCTGACGTCGAACTGAAGAAAGCAGCCGAGGAAGCCATCCAAGAAGAGTCATCAGTCCATTTCATCCGATGGCGCTACATCCCCCCAAGCGCACCCTTCATGGGAGGTGCGTGGGAACGGCTGGTGCGTAGCGTGAAGACCGCACTAGCCGCTACGTTGAACGAGCGGGCGCCCAAGGAAGAAGTCCTCCACACTCTGCTGGTCGAGGTCGAGCACACCCTCAATAGTCGACCGCTAACCCACGTGTCAACATCGGCAGACGACGACAGCGCCCTAACCCCCAATCACTTCATATTGGGCGGTCCATCGCGCGTCCCACTGCCAGGCAGCTTCACAGAGAGCGACGCGGCGGGACACAAGGAGTGGCGTGCCAGCCAGAGGCTAGCTGATTGCTTCTGGAACCGGTGGGTGAAGGAGTACCTACCCGAGTTGCAACACCGGCGGGAGCCCCGAGCTACACACGGAGCCATCAAAATGGACGACCTGGTCCTGATAGCTGATGGGACCTTGCCTCGCAACACGTGGCCGCGAGGCGTGGTGGTGGCGACCTACCCTGGACCAGACGGCGAGATCCGAGCAGTCGACGTGCGGACGAACAAGGGCATCCTACGGCGACCCACTAAGAAGCTGATCATACTGCCCACATCGACATCGAGCGACGCGAACACGAGTTAACTCCAGCTACGAGAGCTGCGGCGGGAGATTATGTTCGCGACATTATTTGTATATATGTAATCGTAATTTATAGTTGTTAAGTCCCTAGTTAATCGTTTCTGTATTCTGTTATTTTATATAGATTTTACATAGATTTAAGATAGTGTAAGTTAAATAAAGTATTTCTTTGTGTGTTGTCATTATTACCTACGAATAGAAATAGAAATTGTAACAATAAATAGAATTAAGAAATTGTAAATTGCAATAAATAAACGCTATAGAGTACCGATCTGAAGAGACACGCGTCTCGTTCTTTCTCGCCCCGTCCCGCTCGCGCAGATTCGCTAACGCGAGTTGGAAACGTTATCATGCGAGCGGGCGGGTATAAAGATAGGCCGCCTCTCGTCGAGCGGCATTCGCTTCCGGGCAGCGACGCACTACACTCGAGAAGAAATAGGACAAGAAGAAAAAATACTCTCTTCAGACGGTACCGGAGGCTTCAGAATAGTAATCGATGTGTTTCACTCCAGCCTGAACCAACGCCCCTACAGTCCACGCTCACCGTACGGCAGTCCACACCGTTCAATAGGATATCCATATTTCTGCGTATTTGTTGGTAGAAATTCTATGATGTATGCTAAGTACTTTAAATAAGACGCCCATTTCACTTCGGCTTCCATCATCATGAAGGCGATAGCCAATCAATTGTCTTTCATTACAGCTTTTAGAAAAAAAATCATTATTGTTAACTCGCTGAAATGTTGACGACTTCTGGTAGAACAGAATATAAAATTATTCTAACTTATAATTTTATCATTCTAAATTCTTTCGTAAAAGAAGAAGCATTATCACGACAATGCTTCTAAGGTGTTTAGTTTTACTTCTATCGGTTGGTCATATACTTGCATCTGATTCATGGCGTAAACCCGGTTGTCATCGAATTGGTTTGTTTCACCTAGTTCATATTTATATTATATTACTTTTTAGGCAATTAATAAATTCGAAAAGTGGTGCCTACTTCGACTAAAAATATAAGTAGATAATGGTTGCTTGTATCAAATCTAATTGTTACCTGACATATTCGGAGAGACTTGACGAAATCTTTCCCGTGTACTTTAATAATGAAGTTTAATAATGAAGTACATATTTGTTTTGTGAATGTAAATGAAATTGTAACTGTAATAATAATAATGATAACGCGCTGTCATCGATAAACGCTGGCAGAACAGTATTAAGGGATGATAGATAAAAATGAAAGTAGGTCAATTGACGCATTGTACCAAATTTCTCAAGACTTAACCACACCTGTTTCCAGGAGAAACCGCGTGAAGGTCGACCTGATAGGATATATTGCTTGTAAATTACAAGTTAGACATTACAAGTTGTAATATCCCCCGTTATCAACGATCTCGTCTCTCCAATCGAGTGGGTAATAGTTACCTACGATCTCAACAATAATTAACTAGACACAGAATTACTTTAAATCAAATTTGGCATTGGTAATAACATTAAATTACCAAGTGAGAAACTAAATAATATTTAAAAATAGTTACAGTAATTGAAAATAAGCTTTTCCGGGTTTTCAGTAGCTATATGTGGTAACTATTTTAAATTTACCTTTTTAACCGACTTTTAAATAGGAGGAAGTTTACAATTTAGTTGTATTTTTTTATGTTTGTTATCTCATAACTCCGTCATTTTTAAACAGATTTAGAAAGTTATTTTTTTATCTAATAGGAAATACTTTCAGATAAGTTCCATTAAAATTTCATGAAAATCGATTTAATTGTTTAGTTTTTGAATCAAAATAATTGGTTCTGTCATAATTAAAGTCAAAAATTAAAAGGCGTGGTGTTATTATTTTTTTCTTTTTGAAACAATATCTTAAATTATTAATTTAAGACATTTATGGTTTATTTATTTAAACTTTATTGAAGAATAAAAGGTGTTACAAAAGGCGGACTTAATGTTATAGGCATTCTCTACCAATCAAACTGGAATATTCAGAGATATTCTGTTGTAGGTATTATTGGTTCTGTATCAAAGTATAAATTAAACATCATGTGCTCGATTATTTCAGGACACACTAGAAACATTAGCATACCGGATTGTGTTCAATTCAAAATTACAACGAATGCTTGCCGCGGATTCTGCGAATCGTGGTCACTACCTAGCATCATGCTGGGCTTCAAGCGACATCCTGTTACCTCTCTCGGCCAGTGCTGCAATATTATGGAGGCTGAAGATGTGAGTTTTATAATTAAATATATATGTGGAACTTCTAGTAGTTAATAGTGGTGGCCAATCTTTAAGTATTGGCAGTCACACACATTAATGGTAGCGAAATTAAACAAAATAATACTATTCAAATAACCAGTGATATGAAGAAATGACCCATTCTATGTCAAGGCGAATTTTAACCACTTGCTGGCATTAAATTGTGCTGAAATTTGACATACTTATGTAAGTTCTATGATAATACCACATTATAATATCACCAGGATTGTCTGATGATGAAAACGAATGGCAATTCGTAAATTGAGTATGATAGATCTATAGTATTTAATTTGTATACATGAAAACTATAACCCTGTATGGTGCCCCAGAGTCTGATAAAGCATAAATGTAAAAAAAAAACTTGTTTTTAACAGACTTTTTGCAAAACAAAATCTATGAGTATTAGTTCCATATTAATTTCATCACAATTAAAATGCCTTTCTTAGCTACCTAGCTTTTTATAGATGATAATGGAATGGTGATACTCAGCCTGCGATATGGATATACGCTGAAAAGGCTTGGGTATATTTTTAACAATGAGACCGCTTTTTCCTATAATCATTATATATATAATAATAATCATTGCCTGTTTTTCTGTGAGGTGCAATACGTATTATATGTATGTTTGTGAATGTGTAAATAAGGGGAATGGGAATACGTACTTAATGATTTTTTCAGAGATTTTATAGTTTAGATTTTTTATCCCTATCTATTACTAATAAGTACAAATATTGTTTCAGGTCCCAGTAAAAGTCCTATGCTTGGACGGTGAAAGGAAATTAATATTCAAATCCGCAGTCTCCTGTGCATGTTATCATTGCCAAAAAGAATAATACGTATATACTTATAACTGAAAACATGTCTTCTATACGTGCCTACATTGATGTGCCTCTCACGTATCGGATGTTACCTAGCTACTGTTAAGGGTATCTTTTCAATGGGGTATTTCAGAGGTGCCATTTCTCTAAACCTCCTACCTTATAACCTATTATTTTAATTCGATAATTTCGAGAAATTACTATTTTATGTCCAGCATAAATTATATTATAATTATTTTGACTTAATACTATTAGAAATTTAGTTTACATTGATCCTTAGTATAAAGCGATAGCTGTAATATTAAATTGAAATTTTAATTTGAAAGATTGGTTTAGAGAACTAGTGCTTCAGAATCGATCCCAACGATAACAATACATCGATGGTTGTACCTACCTACATATGTATAGTCGATGTTACTAATAATATTAATTTTATTTATAATCATTTCAATACGATAAGCATAATTTGCGATGTTTAGAAATAAATGAATTTATTTTATTAAATAGTGTTTGAGTAAAAATTAATAAATATGTTTATTAACTACTATAATCCTAGTTAGGTATTGGTGTATTTAAAATTATTTTCCAGAGGAAGCCTAGCCCCTTCAAAAAGGTACATATGTAAATACTCTTAGACGTGACTTTACTAAGTTTCGTTCTAAATTAAGTGAGCACCGGACAATTCTGGGGTATTCTAGGATGCTAAAACATCACTTTTGTAAACCTATCTTTTAACTCAATATTGTAATTTGATAGTTTTTCAAAATGACTATGTTATAGATCATCCTAAGGGACCATCATACATTAAATTTATAATAACTGTGACTTAAATCTATTAAAGTAATTTATATTGTTCTTTAAAATATAAATTTCGTTGTAATATGAAATTAAATTTTTAATTTTAGAGATAGATTTAGAGAACGGTACTTCAAAATCGAACGCACTGTTAACGTTTTACAACCATTTTAGTCTTAGGTTCCCTTACTTATAAAAACACCAAACGTTTATAAACCTATTTTAGCTATTGAAGTGTATCGTCTTTTTTTCTATATTAATAATATATTTTCTAGTATTTTCCAGAGAAAGGGTTTGAACAAAAGGCGTTTGCTTGGGCACCTCTATCCCATTCGTGTTTCTACCGTGAAGCAGTTATGTTTCGGTTAGAAGGGTGGTATATGGCAGTGAATTTACAGGGTACAGAGGAATAAGATCTGAGTCCTCAGGTATGATAACGCATGGGGGGTATTATGGGCGAAACAGTATACTCTGTTATGTCCATGGTTCATGTCTATAAGCGACGGTTACCACTTTCCATCAGGTGGGCGTCAGCTTGTTTGCCATTCTAAGTTGCATAAAAACAATTCTCGATTTAAAAGAAAGTGATAAAACACTATAATCAATCAATACGTAACTGATCGTTGCCTGTACATTAAAGATATATAAGAAAAACTGTTATAAGGGACTTTATGAACGCAATAGAACCCAAAACAATGATTTTTAGAATGTTTGTCTGTCTGTTTGTTTTTACGTTTGTGGACACTAATCTCAGTAACGGCTTGATCGATTTGAGTGCGGTTTTCACAAATGCGTCGCGGTTTGCTCCACTTAATATTTAGTGTTTGTTTTTTCAATGGGTTCATAAGTAAAAAAGTTATATCAATCTAAATAATCACATATAAAATGCTATAAAATATCCAATCAGTTGAATTGGCTGAAACTTTATAAAGATATTTTTATAATGAATGATAATATAATAGTAACCTAGCCTGCGCTATCAGTATATGCTGGCAGCGCACCAGTGAGGGATGATAGGTGACGATGAAAGCAGATCAGTTAGCTCATCGTGACGAATTTCACTAGAATTAACCACGATGGTTTCCAGAGGGAACCACGCGTATTGCTAGCAATGGGTCAGTTAGACCCCATTACTAACAATTTCTTTCCCCCTTATGAAGATATTAGGTATGTAATTATCATTTAAGTATATAATACATTATAAAACCAAATTCATAATGGGTTCCAATAGGAATTATATAATTAGAAGTGAACAACGCCGCGGGAAACGGCTAGTATATACTAATATTATAAAGAAGTAAATTTGTGAGTTTGGATGTGCGGGGTAAATTCCGATTTTACAAATCCAATTTGAAATTTTTTTTCCTCTGTTGTTACTTTTTTAAGGTATATTATCCCTAAGTGCTATAGAATACTTTTTATTTTAATAAGTATATATTTTCAATGATTAATCACAGTAAAAGTAATTGAAGCAAGCAAACATTCTATACCTAATATGGTGTGCACTGCTTAAATGTATTTATTTGTTGAAAAAAAGGAATAAAATCTGTAGCAAAAATATTTATTACTTTTAGCTTTTACGAGTACTCTTTAACTATCTTTAGAAGAATTTAAATAAAAAAATATTCTTATAAGAAACTAGCTATTTTTTTCCGCAACTGTACCCGCGTGAATTAATAAAATACCTTATGTAGTTGTGATATAACTAAATTTTATTCAAATCTGTTCAGTTATTTAAGCTTGTTTGATTAACAAACACTACTGCTATAAATATTGCGTGATTAAGTATAAACATATGCTGTAGGACGTATGTGATCAAGCTATAAGTATTAGTAGATTAAAAAAATCATTAAAATTCTCCATTTTTCGATATGAGTATCGTTATGATTATCATATCGTTATGACCGACTTGATGATTCAAAAAGTAGACTATAATTGGGTTATATTTAAAAATATTTCTTTTATTTAACTCTCTTGTGGCAACACTTATACATTTGTCGGCATATCAAAAGAGCTTTCATTGTGGTATTCTGTGCTGTTGATGTGCCAATACCTAGTTTTTTGAATTATTGGAGTTGGAAACACTGAGTATAATCTATGGACATTTTATCTCGCAGGTAGAAGTTACTATTCTTAGTCTATGTTTTTATTTCTTTGATTATCTGTTCACAAAGATTTGTTAGTCTTGTTCTTAGTCTGTGGTATTTTGTTTATTATGATTATGATGTGATTGAAATTTTTAATACTTGTGAATATTAAAATACCTAATTCGTCTCAGAATAAAATGCAACGAATATTTATATAGTGTTAATATTTCTTTAAATTAGGTTAATTACCATTTTTATAATTTCAAGAAATTTGGAAACTCTAATAAATGTAAATACATAGAGCAGCGCAATGGGGTGTCTACATAGTAAAAAGGAATCTTCAGATCTGCATCCCAATGTATTTCGTGTCGTAAATATTGACGAAAATGGTGCAGACTTGTGCTCTGGTCAGTTGGAGATCACAGAATCGGATATTATTCTTTACAGGGAAGGTAGAGATTCAACAGTGTGGCCCTTGCATTCATTGAGAAGATATGGATTTGAAGGAGAACTGTTTAGTTTTGAGTCAGGTTAGTATTTATCAACACTATTAGAAATATTAAAAATGACAATGGATACCCACTAAGTAAAATTAGTTATCCTTAAAGATGTTTCTTATGTTGAATTTGGAATGGCTGACAAGCTCTCATTCCTCCTGATAAGTGATTTCTTCATAAATAATATTATAGATATGAATTACTATTATAAATAATAATGCTGTCATTCTTGTTACTATAAACTACACTGGACAGCAAATAAACCGGGCCACCTTCTACTTTTGAACTCTAATCCGATTTTCTCAAAAAGTATAAAACTTACAACTGCCAAAGTCATATCTATAGAAAGTGCATTTCATAACGATCAAAATGACTAAAATTTAATCTAAAGTACCGCCATCTTACATTGCAATCAAGCAACAAACACAATGCTTACGATTTGCTCTGTTTTGGCTGGAATTCGCGCTCAGCATTCTTCTACAGGTTAGTCCGATATTTCTTATCATTTCTTTAATTTTTTTCTATTATTTGCATAGACGCATATTTTTGTAACTTTTTTGAGTTAATAATGGATACAAATCCTCAGGAAGCCGCTCAAGCTGTAGCATTACTTTAAGCAGGCTATGCACAATGTGAGGTTGCTCGAAGACTTTAAATTAGCAGATCTTCAGTGCAATGAGTTTGCAAACGATACTTAGAGACTGAAGCATTCGATCGCCATTCAGGTACAGGCAGACCTAGGTCTACATCAGCAGCAGATGATCCTTACATCCAACACTGTTCTGCAAAATCGTCGACTCAATACAGTTCAAGTCTAACAAAGTCTGCATGATGAACGCCAAGTGGTCATAAGTTTAGATACTGTTAGAAGGAGACTTGCTGAATGGGACCTGACACCAAAAAAAGCAGCAACAGGCCCAGCATTAACGGTAGCCCACCATTAAGCACAACTTGAATTTGCTCAAGAGCACAGAGATTGGATGTTGGAGCAGTGGAGTAAAGTACTCTTCACTGATGAGACAAGGGTGAGTCTATATGAAAGTGATCGACGTCAGAGAGTATATCATCGCCTTGGAGAACATTATTCTCAGTGTTGCATCGAAAAAACTGTTGCTTATGGAGGAGGCTCTGTAATGGTGTGGGGTGGCATCTCATTAACTGCACATACAGCTTTAGTTTTCATTGAACCGACGGGCTGTACACTTCAATTGACTTTTTATCGCTACCTTTCTGAAATTCTCACAGATCATGTGGTACCTTACGCATGATATATCAGGCAGGATATGCAGTTGATGCATGATAATGCACAGCCTCACATTGCTCATGCGGTGACCCATTATCTACGCGATGTTGGCATCCATATGATGGCATGGCCAGCTTGAAGCCCTGACTTGAACCCTATAGAACACTTATGGAATGAGCTGAAACGTCAGGTTCGAGCTCGGGTACCTGCAACAAGGCCTCCAGAGCTGTGAATCGCAATTGAAGAGGAGTGGAATGCAATTCCTCCAGATTTCATCGTCAGGCTCTTGAGATCTATGAATACGAGGATGCTATCAGTTATCAGAGCAAGAGAACACTGAATACTAATCATAAACTTTGTTTTAAATTTTTTTCTTTGATTTAAGCTTTAATTTCTTTTTTACTTGGAGATAAACGATTTGCGCTACTGAAAACGACTCATCTTTGTAAAATCTTAATAAACACTTAATTAATTAATAAATCATAATGTGTTTCCAATAATTATAATCCTCATGAAACACACTTTCTATAGGTATAACTTTTTGAGAAAATCGGACTAGAGTTCAAAAGTAGCGGATGGCCCGGAAGTCGTTATTTGCTGTCCAATGTACTTCACTGATAGGAAATTTTTGGTATAGATTCATAATAGCACTATTCATGCCATCAACAATGTTAGTAGATAATAAATTCTATTCTCAAAGATTAAAAACTAAATGAATACAATAAGTATTAATTTTAATAGTTTTGTTAACTTTTATGTTTTATACATACATACATATCTGTCACGCCTGTCTCCTATTAGGTAGGTAGTTTTTAAATTTAAAGTTTATCCAATTTTATATTTTCCATTACAGGAAGAAGATGTGAAACAGGTGAAGGTATATATGCCTTTAGATGTAGAAGAGCTTCCCTCCTTTTTCGAACTCTCCAACAACAAATTCAGTTGAGAAATGTTATACATGACTCTGTGCCGTATCCTGTCTCAAGGTTGACTCCATCGCCTCAGGGTAGACAAACACTACAGGCCAGTGTAGTTCATCGCTCTTCTATTGACAATGGCCAGCCCGACAATCACATTCCAGCCATCAATAATAATCTGGCTAACAACATACCACATCCTAGTGTACATGCTGTAACACAGTCACCAAGATCACCTTCTAGTGCAGATATACTAGAAGTTATGCCCTTATATCCACGTTCACAAACTAATGGCAATACTAATGTTTACCAGTTGAGGGAATTTAAAAGAGAACACAATAATAATAATCAGGGAGATGCATCTGAATCACATCATGTTTATAGCAATGATCTAAACAGAGATTTAGCAATATTAAGAAATACGTTGCGACAAGAAACTGTTCTCAACACTATGAGAGATATTGAAGATGAGACACGATTTCTAGAAAGCAGATATATAAATGAGACCATACCCAATAAACAAATAAGTAGTCCATTGTCTCCCACATTAAGTAGTTCAAGTGAGCATTATGCACAACTTAGTATTGAGCAACAAGAATCTGCTCGACTCTACATGAACATTGTACCAAATGACATGAATGTTTCAGAAAATAGTAAGAATGATACAGTACCTACTACTCCTTTAACACCAAAACAAATAGACTATTGTAATTTGAGTGTTGGTACAAAGGCTGAAGTTAATACATATGCTAATTTAGCATTGGGTGAAATTGGTGATAGTGTCAAGAATGTCAAGCAGATGTTAAATTTTTCTAACATATCAGAACATAATCAGAAATTTTCGGAATCTGATACTTTCACGTCAATGTCGCCAGTGGAAGAGTTGGAAGTAAATTATGCTATATTAGACATTGAATCAAACAAAGAAAATGGTAGAGTCTCAAGAGATGTCGTATCTCCAGAGATGCAGTCTTATAATAGTTCCCGAAATGAAAGCACGGCATCGTGTTCGTCGCAGCCTCGCGGTCGACTCGTGTCACAGGGGAGTGTAGAAAAGCAAGTCACAACATGCACAGCTGTGTCTCCTCCTTCTGCCACCATAGGATATACTACTATCGACTTTGATAAGACTGTTGCTTTGACATCAGTAGCTGCAGGTGCAGATGTAGATTTAGATGGTCAACGCAAAACGCGGCATAATTCGTGTAATGTAATATGTGGTAGTCCCAGTAGCGTCGACAAAAGTAAGTCTAGTAACAATTAGGAAGCTTAAAATGTATTATCATCTCACAAATTTTGCTACTAATAAACTCTTATCAACCAAATTCAAACAAGGTGATAAATTAAGCGGGCATATTGTGAGCTATATTTTAGTGAGATAAAAGAGGAGAGACATCGACATAAAGATAATACTAACAATGGTGCCAAAGAATTGATACTTTTAAAAATAGGTGTCTTTGTTCCAATGCAGTGGTGTATAACCTTACAATAATTATACCCAAAGAATATTGTCAATATTAGAATAAAATAAACGAAAAATTTGAAAAAAATGCTAACAACCATTTTCTTGGATGAGTATAATATAAATGCATATAAAAACACGTCAAATGCTATAAATTAAAAATTTACTACTTAGCAATTATTTTGAATAATATATTTTTCACCTTTTACTCTCATTTTTACTGAACCACATTATATGTGGTAAAAAGGAAGGTTATGATTTTCAACTGACTTCAAACTGAAGTTCTCAATTTGGTTGTTTTTTTTTTGTCAGTATACTCTTATCTCCGTCAGTTCCAGATTTGGAAAAATCTATTTTATTTGAAAAGGTATATCTTTACAGATTGGTCCAATAGAATTTTTATCAAAATTGGTTCAGTAATTTAGTTTTTAGATCAAAATAACTGGTTTTGTCACTATTAAAGTCGGTTTTTTTTTTAAACACAATCTTTAATTATATCTGCTATAAATAAACTACTGATCATAATTTCACTAGTGAGGTATCTTTGGAGCATTTTGATCGTCCACTAGTTATAGAATATGTATACGATTGAAATCTGTTTTTTTGTGGAACACAATCTTAAATTATTTAATAGACAATAAATATTAAATAGATAGTTTGTATATAACAATTTCAGATGAGAATAATTTCTTGTTTCATACTTTTTGGGAGTAGACGGGTTTTAGTTTTTGAACTTACTTTTAATAGGTGAAGGGGAGTAAAAAGTAAAATATACAGCCCAAAGGACATTCAGAAACTACATTTTCCGTAATATTGGCTTATAATTGTTTGTGAATGGAGAGCATATAATTTTCACAGTCCATCTTTAGTTGTGAAAATATATGAATAATATATAATTTTCGTATTTTAAATTCAACTGTTTACGTTATGTAGATACTAGTTAGGTGAGAAAATAATTGAAATATGATAAAACAATATTGTTAACGGGACTTTATGTGCAATAATGCATTGTAAAGTTTAATATATTTTAATATGAAAATTCCGTGTTCGATGTCACGGTGTTCGTTCGCATGAAATTTTGTAAATGTGTATGGTTTTTTTTTAACTTGAGAGATAGATAATATTTGTCCCAATAAAAATAAGTGTACCCATTAGGTGGCAAAACTACGTTTACTGGTTCAGCTATTTAATAAGTGGCATAATAAAATTATTAATATAATAATTTTCTGTTAAATCAGAATTTTTATAATTTAGTAGAGCTTACAATATTCTATTGTTATTTTTTATATTAAGCATATACAGTTGAGTTTATTATATTTTTTTTATCTTTCTACTAGAAAATAAATTTTCTTCATTTTGTTTAACTCGTACTGGTCACTATCTTCGTCTTTCTATTTGAATTGATTTTATTTCCGAACAATGCAAAAATGTATTTTCAAGTCTCCATCAACCCATAACATCCAGACCTGAGCCTATTCACAAAAGTTTGTCTTCTTAAATTGGCCTGACTAGGATCAAACCCGAGACCTCATTTACGTAAAGCAACGTACTTACTACTACAACACGAAGGTCAAAGTTAAGTCATTTAACACTACGCTTTAAAATACTATTTTTACTTCCCACCATACCAGTCATATGCTCGATACCTGTGGTATTAAAAAAAAACATACTCTGTTGACTTTTAACTTGTGGTAATTTTTGTTTTTAAATGTCTGATAAATAGAAGTTACAGTAATAAACTCAACTGTACAATATAATAATAGACACTTGTTTTTTACTATTATATGATATTATATTAACTTGTATTTGTTAAATAATAATTATCATGAGTTATACTGTTTTGTAATTAATTATTATTTGTAATAATTCCGATTTTGTAATTTATATATACATAGTTATATCTTTATTGTATATAAGCATAAATACTCTTAAAAGTGATGTTTCCTGTTAAAAATGTTTTCAGCAAAACTTCATTTTACGATTATAAGTTTAGACTTAGATTATAAACCATAAATCTATTGTTGATGAACAAGGAAATGTGTAGGTAGAATATATAAAAAAATTTAGCAGGGTGATTTCAGCCAAATATGAAGTATAACTTTCATAATCGATACCAAAGTTTAACTTTATTTTTTACAAAAATGTATACCAAATATAATACAAAAATATAATGAAAAGTAGGTAGTATAAATATAAACTAATCATAAACTACCTAGAGACACTAACACATAAAGTAATTAAGTAGTACATTGAATATAATTGGGGGAAATTTGATATGAAATACCTAGATGCTGGAATAACTTTTACAATGTTTATATTCAATTATAGACTGAAGTTACTCATTTTGAATTTCCTTTATGATTTGTAAATACAATAGTTAAATATTTTACTGAACTATATGTTATCTTGTGGAAGTCCATATCACTGGTTATTTGATTACAAATATTTTGTTTAATTCCACTACCATTAGTATATGTGTAACTGCCAACATTCGAATATTGACCACCACTATTACTATCAAAAATTCAACAACCTTAAAAAAAAGACACAAAACGTACGTGAACAAAATAGCAGTCGGAAATTGATGACTAATGTGGTAGGTTATAGAATATACCAGAAGTAAAAATGGTCAATCTTCTAGTGTTGGCACTTACACATATACTAATGGTAACAAACAAATAATTCTAGTCAAATAACTAGTAATATATTAGTTTGTATTATGTATTACCAATCTATCCCGTAAGACCTTGATAAATGACATGACATATGTAGTCTATATAAATCTAAATTGTATTTAACATTATTATCTCGATACTGAAAAGGTAAAATGTATTAGGCGCTACTTTAGCTCATATTGAATTATATAGTCAGCGTCAAATTAATCAGAGCAAGTTGATGGTGATTTAGCAGTCACAGATAATGCTATGCCAGTTCACAAAATGGCTAACGACATAGATTTTTTGGTTTAAACAGTACAGCTTTTAATGGTTTTCTACCTTTCTATTGACGCACATTTTGCCTTTTCGTTTCTTTTTTTTTTTTTTGCTTTGCCAACGTCAATACAGGTCTTACGGGAGAAAGGGGGGGGGGGGGGCGGGGAGGAAGCGCAGTTGGGCGGCATACGAGTATTTTACTCAATCCTCACCCCCCAGTTCTCCAATGACCTTTTATTTTTCGTCGTTGTGGGGTGCCAGAGAGGATAAGGCTAGCCTTGTTTCTATTCTTTTAATATCTACTTTTTATTCATTTATATTCCAAGTAATTGAAACACCAATTGAGGTTTAAATAAACACATAATGCCATGTAGAATGTAATGTTGCCATAATTAGCTACCTGAATTATTTTCTATGAACTTATTACAGTAATAAAATCTAATAAAATTTATTATTGTCTATTAATATTAAATATAATATTTAAATATTCCTCGACTTTAGTGACACGTCATTTTTATGGTCATTACATTGCTTGATATTTGCTTATCCAATAAATGCCGAAATATTAGTTTTGCATCCATTATGACCATTTTAATCTTTAATTGACTATTATTTGATACCATCTGCGTATTTTCTGTGACTACTTTTTTCGACATATTTAAGATTATTTTCTAGGAAAATGCGTATATGTATTCATTCACAAACGTGTCTTTACAATAGTTCGCTTAGCTTCTAAAGTGGGCACCAAACGATGCTAGGGCGGGTATGACCCACCCGTCTCCCCTTTAAATACGTCTATGACGACTATTTCGACTTTATCTCAACTGGAGTTTAATTTCAGACTATTGTAATGAGGCTCAAAATAGAAGCTAAATCGATCTCGTCCCTGTGTTATATTTTCTAATATAAGCATTCATTCGATACTGCATTAATTGAGTCACGGTCCCCTGAGTGTAATACAAAAAAAGTTACTTATTTTATATACTACAGTACACCCAGGTACTGTATACTTATTAAAACGTACAAACAAACATTTATCATTTCATACTACGAGGTTTGTCCGGAAAGTACGTATAAAAGTTTTTTAAAAATTTTATTTTACAATTATTCAGGTAAATCAATTTTATCCCCTTCAAAGTACTCCCCTGTGACATAATGCACTTGTGCCAACGCCGTTTCCACTGTGAGAAGGCTCCTTGAAAGTCCTCTGGTTGTAGGTTTCTCAGCTGCCCCGTCGTAGCTTTTTTTATCTCATTTATGTCCCCCAAATGCCGCCCCCGAAGTACCAATTTGGTTTTTGGGAACAAGAAGAAGTCACACGGGGCCAAATCCGGCGAATAGGGGGGTGTTCGGTCACCGTAATGGAATTTTTACTTAAAAACTCACGGACAACAAGAGAGGTGTGGGCAGGGGCATTGTCGTGGTGAAGAATCCAACGCCCCTCTCGCGCCAATTCTGGACGAACTCGTGCCACACGAGCTTTGAGGCGTCTGAGCACATCGACGTAGAATTTTCCATCAACTGTCTGGCCTGGAGGGACGAATTCTTGATGGACAATCCCCCGAACATCGAAAAAAACAATCAACATTGTCTTGACATTTGAGCGGGATTTTCTTGATTTTTTTGTTCGTGGTTCCCCGGATGTCTTATCGAATTAGATCGGCAAAAATTTCACGGCCATTCTTGCCGAGTTTCGAGAGAAACTTGATTACGACGCGCTGCTCTTCAACGGAAGCGGGCTCCATGCCGACGGGGTTTCGTTAAGAGGTAACTTCACAGATGGCGTGACAAGCCAGTCTGCACCGCACGGCGGTCAGACCAGAACTGAAGCATTGTTAGGGACATAAGGAAGGGGTCCTGCGCTTACCTGGCCTCCCCACTCCTCTTTCTCGCATTCCAGAACACTTTTATACGAACTTTCCGGACAGACCTCGTATATATAAACGATATAGGCTACCAACAGGATAATTTATTGGCCTAATCTTGCCATAAAAATGATGTTTAGCATGATTTTCCCAAATTCTGTAACGTATATATGTGATTATGTAATAGATGGTAGACAATAGATTGTATTGCATTTATGAAATACAAATCATAAATAATGATATACATTCAAATTTTGTTTATTTATTTATTAGAAAGACCAACAGTATTCTAACATTGACAATAAATATAACACATATATATAAATTATAATAACAACCAGATAGCCAATAATAGGTCTCAACGTATAGTTATGAAATATAAAATAAACGCATTAGATACGCGTAGCAGTAAAGTTAGTATATATATACAAACACATTGTATTCAAAAGCTAATACTAAAAATGCAAGGACACAACCATGAAATTATGCTAAATTAGTAATAAATTATATATACATATTTAAAGAGATAAAAATTGGCCAATTTAATGGATTACAAGAATTCAGGATTTGACATACTTTAGGTATTGTCATTATTCCTTGAAGTATAAACTTTAAACGTAAACTTTTATATTAATGAGAAGTGACATAAGTATATATTTTATTGTGTAAATATATTTTTATATTACATATTTTATTGTTATACATTTATTTACTGAATATCACGCTGGTTTCTGTGTATTTTATATTGAGACATGTCTACGCGTAGTTAAAAACTTTTACTTGCATTCTGGGGTGGGCACCAGACAAGTCTCGGACGGGCACCCACACTTATGATTTGCCCATCTATAGACGTATTAAAAATAAACATCAGTGAACTGCAAATTATATGAATAAAGTATAAAAAAAATGCGAACTAAAATTTTTTCAAATTTCTCAACAGTGAATAACCATCTAGTTATATATAACAAACAATTGATAGCAGGCACTTACGTGCAAATCATGTAAGCATTTCACTCGTACCTAGTATTTTATCACAGTAATCTGACTGATAATTCCTTATTAATAGCTTTGTCCTTCAGATATTTAATAACTACATTATTAACTTCATACATTAATAATCTGTTATTAAGATAAAATACAGGCAACGAGTATTTCTATCTACTACATTAGATCACTATAATTCATGATCTTATTTAACATTTGTTAATAAAATAATAAGTTATAAAAAGTTTAATATTTTCTAATTTGCTTTGTTCTTTACTGAAATTAAAATTTTGGTCTGTCTCTATGTCTCTGTCCATATATGTGTGATTAACATTACGTAATTATTTTAACTATAATTCCAGTAACAACTTGAAATTGAAGAAATTTCACATGTTGATAAGATGCCATTAAAGGATGGCAGGTGAGGGTGAAGTTAGATCAAGTCATCGTGATTAATTGATTAGGACATTAATCCATTACAGTTATATGACAATAGCATAAAGGTCAATCTGACAAGTTTAGCTGGCAAGGTATATTAGTCCGATAGGACTGCTAAACTCCACTTTTTATTTAATTTATTTATTCATTATTACATATATATGTACATGGCGGACTTAATGCTAAAAGCATTTTCTCCTCGTCAACCATAAGGAAGTGTCAGAATAATCGAATGCGGTACTAGTAATTAATCCACTATTAAAAACTCGCCTTCCCTCCCAGTAGCATGGTTATCGACATTCGCGGTAAGAAGTGATGGGTAAAGATGAAAATAGGTCAGTTAGCACATTGTCGATTTAATAAAAATTATCTATAATTGTTTCCAAGGAAAACCACGTGGAGATTGACCTGATAGGATATATTGCTAGCAATAGCAATAGCAAGCAAGTTCTAATTATTAAAAATCTCTTCCTCCGGGATAGAATTGTTGGTAACGGAGATTGATAACGCATCCGTTGCAGAAGAAACAGGGTCGATGAGTATTCCTTTCGAAAGCCGTACCGGCGATAACAGATTAGCTGGTGTATTTTTAGGTACCGGTGTAATTGACGGTTAATGATAGATTCCATGACTTTCGAGAATAAGAAGGTGATAGCTATGGGCCTATAGTTAGCTGGAGCTGAGCGATCTCCCTTTTTAGAGATCGGATGTACCAGAGCAGGCTTCTAAAACTTTAGGACTATATCTAATAAGTAACACAGCCGAAAAAGACGCGTAAGAACCGGAGGCAATTCTGGCGTACACGTCCTAAGCACAATCATCGGGCCCATTCGACTTGTGGATTTCAAGGGAGAGCAGTTCTCTACGCACTGAGCTTTGCGTGAATTTATTATCAGGCATAGAGCTCTTACAACGTGGGATGGTCAGCGGTGGTATTTCCCTGTCATCCAACGTCGAGTTGGCCGCAAAGAGAGATCCAAGGAGATCGGCCTTTTCTTTGGCGGTCAGAGCCAATGAGTTATCCTCTCTGCGCAATGGTGGATAGGATGACTGACAAAAATTCCATTGTGCAGCTTTGGCAAAAGACCAGAAAGCTCAAGATCCTGAAGGCAAACAAGCCAATCTCTTGCCAATTCTACTAATATGTTTTGACATAAGTTTAAATAGGTATGGTATGTATACATTTTCCCACTCATAGATGATAATTAGATAGCCGTTTTTAAAATACACATACGGTGTTAGATAATATAATGAAATAAGAGTACATTACAATACATAAACTTCTATAGTATTTAATCTGGAGAAATTTGTTTTCTATAACTAAAGAGATCGCGTGTTGCATGCTTTACTCAACCACAGATAACTCAATATATGAAAGTGTATTGTAAGATCAGTATACGATATCACTCTCGCTCTTGTATACCTAAGTACAGAATAACGATAATTCGTAATTAAAATGTTATCTCAAAATAAAGTCGGATCCGTGGTTTTAAGTTTAGTATTAATTGTTACTAGTACGTAAGTGCATAGGTACTACTTACTTGCATGCATAATTCTTCGCTTATGAACAATACTGAATATACCAGAATATTAATATATTATGGATATCATAATTGATATCCATATATATCCACAACACGGCTTATGCGTTATCACTTCTAAAACAGTTTCTATTCCTCTTATAGCAAAACTCATACTTACTATCTACACCTTTAATATACTACCTACGATCTAAATAGCATTGTATGTATCTAACAGTACCTAACATTAATTTTTAAAAATGATTTTTTGTTTTAAAAATGATTTTTCACGAATGACATAAAATAATAATAATAGCAAATACTCAGCAAATCACAATGCATTATTTTTTTTTATATATATTAGGTAAAGACCTGCTGAATACTATAAAAATAGACAAGTTAAGTGTTCCTGAACTAGTCCAAAGCGGTTCAAATAATGTTCGTCTAGAATGCCAGTACACCCTTTCGACTGATGTTTCTCTTTATATCATACAGTGGTTTTTTAATGATGATCCTTCGCCCTTTTATGAATGGACTCCAGAGACAGAATTTACAAGCAATACAATTTATAACAGATACTTCAATTGTAAGTAATTTTAAATGTTCATATTTAGCTACATATACTGTCCTAACAAGTGGAATGGATAAAAAATAATCTACATATGACCTAGAATATAAGATATTCTATTTAATTAATATTGTTCTGACATCATCATGCATGCACCCTGAAAACTATAAATTGAGAAATATCTTACTTGTAATAATTTAATTATTTTTTTTATGTTTTTATGCTACCTAGAATGACGAACAAGTTGACAGCCCACCTGATGGAAAGTGGTAATCTTCGCCTATAAACATGAGCAGTACCAAGGACATAACAAAGTATGCTGTTTCGCCCATGATATCCTCCATGCGTTGCCATTCCTGAGGGCTCAGATGTTATTCTTCTGTACTCTGTAAATTCACTGCCATATCCCACCCTTCAAATCAAAACAAACCATCCAAACACAACTGCTTCACGGTGCTTAAATAGTGATAAATCATGTATTATGTCTAACACTTATTTTAAAAAGTAATATTTTTAGCGACAACTACGAGAGAGCACAGTATTCTACTTCTGCAGCAAGTAATACCAGAAATAAACGGAGATTACACGTGCAAAGTTGTCAGCGAGGGCAACGTGGCAAGTCTGACAAAAACTATGCTTGTTTACAGTAAGTACACCTATCTACTTAACAACAAGAACAATAGCTTTAATACAGAAAGTATAGGTTTTAAAGCCAAATTCAAACCTATCTGATAACTTGATACCAAACACCCAGAGGTTATTCTATCTGGCTCATAATTTCACAAAAGGAAATAACCACAAATTTTGTTGGACGTCGTACGGGAGTTTTTCTACGAAATTGCTTTCAATTCAATAGCTTTTGGGGGAGAAGCATCACATTAAGTTATATAAAGCGGTAGTACGCCGAATTCCAACATAGACAGGTTTCTTTTGATGACCAGATTCGGGAATGTAGTTCTTCAACAAAGACTGACAAGGGAAGCGATTAATTGAAGAAAACCAACTCATT